CCCCCCCCCGAGACCAATTTTTACGGATGCCATCTAAAAGTCCCCTGCAAGACCGGTAAATATCCGGAAATTTACCGGTAAATTTTTCGCTGGGTCGCAAAAAATAATTTCCAACACGTTTCCTCAAAATCACTCACCCCCGACTTAATCTCCAAATGACAACCATCAGATAAATCAACCTACCACTTAAATCCAATTTACAATTTGAGCCCACCAATAGCGCTCGTCAACCAGCCGTACAACATTACCAGCATACCATCCCCGGGTGAAGCCCAAAGTGACAACAATCAAATAATCCTAATTCCCCGAACAAATTATCGAAATTCCCCAAATTCCCTCAAAAATAAATTCCAGGAGTTCCAGCCTCCCGGAAAGCCTTCCCATGTCCCCAATTTTTCCAAACCTCAATGACACATGCATTCAACAGCATCAGTCGGCACGTTTTCTCCCCACTCACCGCCTAGACTACCTGAAATTGTCATTAGGCTTGTTAAGTCCTTAAAACAAGAGGAAGAAATCGTGCCGAACTCCGAAACAAGGACACCGAAAAAACGAAAAGGTTTCTTTGTAGGAGTCCCCCAGTGCCGTCATATATCGATATATTTCTCCTTGTTCCCGTGGATTTTTATCTCCTTGGAATAGAGCCATTACCTTTGTTGGATAGTGGTGGTCATCGGGGTCCCTGGGAATAGATGGGCGGGTTTGGATACAGAAATGGAAGGCAATGAGAAAAAAACTGAAACAGAACGAATAAAAAAAACTGACAAACGAAGAAAAAAAACGCCCCCCCCCCCGCCGCCGCACCCCTTTACATCGGACCCCAAAGCAGACTCGAGCAGGATAAAGGATGATGGCACGAGGACCAGTTGGCAGTGCCCTGGGGAGGGTCCATTGGGTCCGTGCGTGCGAGTCTGGGGGGTATTAAAAAAAAGTGGTGGGGAGGGGGAGACTCCCGTGTGTGTTGAAGGGGACATAAGGCCCCTGCCCGAAAGAGAAGAGGGAATGAATAAAGAGGAAATAAGTGAGCGAGAGAAAGAGAGAGGGAGGAAGAAGAAAAATGAAAAAACAAAGAGCTACAAAAATTAAGAGAGAGGGGTGGGGGTAGGAGGGGCCTTATGTACCACAGCGAACCGCATTCTCTACCTGTGTGGTAAAACGCTCACTCAGGGGGGACCCCAAGGGGCATTCTAAAACAAAGACCCACTCGAGCAGACCTAACATACAGAGGAACCCCCTCCACCCCCTCCTCTAACTCCTTGTTGGGCCCCTCTTGCTCATTACGAAACAATTTACCTTTTATTTTTGGTGAAATTCAGGGGGTTAATACTCAAATTATTGCTCTCTAAAAATTTTTTTCATCCTCCATTTTTTCTACAGATGACTTCCTCGGGTCTCCGAGTGAGCTGAGTTGAAGGGGGTGATTATTATTCCCCTCTCTCGACAATTTTTTTTTGAATTCCTCGTTGCTTGAGATTTTTTTTTGAATTTCTTCGAGGCTCTTTTAGTTTTGGTCTTTGGTCCTTTCTTTCCTTTAGCCTCTTTGTCTTAAGTGAATTGTGCCCTGTGGGATACTGATGATTCATTCGAATAAATCTGTCTTATTATTTTTGTTAGGGCAGGAGGGAGGGAACTTTATGGACTGTCGACACAGATACACAGTGTGGGAACAGGATTCTTTCGGGGAGATGAATCAATTTTGAGTGGTTTTTGTGGAATGAAAATTGCGGTGGGCCTTTTTTTTCTCATGAATTCAAATCAAATTTATTCGCAATTTACACAAATTTTCGGTTGAAAGATTCTTGACAATTTCATTAAATTCCTCGTGACGGTGCATTGTGAATAGATTCAACAAGATTCATCTTTAATAATTAATAATAATATTAATAATCTATATATTTTTAAAAAATATACACTGCTTAATACTTTACAATGAATAAATTATTTACAAATTCTTTACAACGACTCCTGGCTTTCCTTTCATCAACCTTCTTCATCGCCTTATTCACACATTTTACAAGAATCTCAACACTAGAGATGAAAATTGAAGATGAAGACAAGTAGAAATGTAAACAGAGCACAGACAGAGAAACAAGAACTAACATTAATTTCCCTACAAAGAAAAAACATCATTTGTACAAATATACACACACAATATGGATTAACCCTCGCATCATCATCCACTGCTCATCAATTTCTAAAAAATAAAACAATAAAAATTGAAACATAAAAAATAAATAGTAATCCTTAAAAGCAGGTACGGTTTAACTTCGAACATTGTCTAATTCAAATACGCGGTAAGATTTTACAATAGTAAATTCGCTGTTGTTACAATCGTGGAAGGAGAGGGAGACAATTGTAGATACAGAGCACAGTGTTCCAATGAGAAGATGGATAATCACATAAATAGATTAGTCACGTAGTTTCACACGAACGATCATAAATCCGAAACTGCGCAGCTAAGTGTTCAATAGCATTTCGATATTCTCATCAACTAGTCACGCATCACAACAATTCTTCAGCTTCGTATTCTCCAACAATTGGTATTTCGAAATAGTAAGAAAAAATAAGCGAATTCTGCCACTGAATGTTCACGCTCAAGCACATTGTCACAATTCAAAAGGAATTAGAAAGAAATTTCCGCCTCTGGTATCTCCCTTCACAATCAAAAATTCATTCCCCAGAACACCTGTCGTCCAAGCATGTACCGACGCGTTCCACAATCATTGGAATTTCCTCCAAATCGTCAAAAACTCAAAGAACCAATGCTCCATCCGTCATCAAACCGAGGTATTAATGCATAACGCCTCAAACATTCTCTCAATCCTCTTTTTTTTCGGTATTTCAAATCGGTTGCTACGGAGACACACACAAGTGGCACCTGCGGATGCTGCCGGTGGTAAATCTGATACCGGTTTTCTCTACAGCCTTATTAATAAATTATATATACGTGCGCGAGTGCGAGCAGCTCGTGAGCGCACGATAGACGTACGTACCAACATGCCGTTGGTGGGGAGAGAGACTTGGAAGATAAAAAAAAAGAGTTATAAAAAAAAAAGAGAATCAAGGAGGTTCGGGTTTTAGCCTATCGCGCTCACCGATTCTTCCAGCCGCGTTGGAGAAGGCGAATAGTGTACATGAGTTTGCCCCGAGTCCAGTTCACACACGTACATAACGTATGTAACGATAAAACCCAACGTTCCAAGCTCCAACGTCTCCATGGAATATATATCCCCATAGGCCGTCGAGTTTGTTAATTACTGAAGCTGTCGAGAATGCGGCAGCGTCACGCACTCAGTTCTCTATCCTTTATTTTAAAACATTATTTTTAAAACATTCCATTTTATTTGTCCACTTCACCACGCTGTTGGATACTTCTAACGAGCGTTGACGAATAGAGACAGCTGTGGGGGCCCGATCGGCTCTGGTCAAGTGGAAAGGAGAAGGAGAGGATGTGATAAAAAAAAATATATTGAAAGAAGTAAAGTTGGTGGGGTTGAGCCGAGAGGACTTGAGGGCAGAAGAACACCGACGGTACAATTAAATCCCCACCTGTGCCTCATTCCAATCCTTTCGAGTCTGCGTCATTAAATCGTCCATTAGAGTCCTGAACAACAGGAGCAGAACAAATCATTCGTGAGGATTTTAGCCCTCTGTGTTTGGTTGTTCTTGGCCGGGGGCTAATAACACTAGACTGGTGTCATGTTGCTGGAGAAGTCATCTTCTAGTGAAGCTGCTTGTCACCTTGGATAACGACCTTGCATCACAAACCGATGATCTCATTAATAGATTCGTTGAAATAATTGAAAACCTCTTGATCCGCTGCATTTTGAAATCATGGCATCACTCCACAAGCAATTAGCCCCGACCCGATCGACTCTGGTCAAGTGGAAAGGAGAAAGAGAGGATGTGATAAAAGAATATATTGAAAGAAGTAAAGTTGGTGGGGTTGAGCCGAGAGGACTTGAGGGCAGAAGAACACCGACGGTACAATTAAATCCCCACCTGTGCCTCATTCCAATCCTTTCGAGTCTGCGTCATTAAATCGTCCATTAGAGTCCTGAACAACAGGAGCAGAACAAATCATTCGTGAGGATTTTAGCCCTCTGTGTTTGGTTGTTCTTGGCCGGGGGCTAATAACACTAGACTGGTGTCATGTTGCTGGAGAAGTCATCTTCTAGTGAAGCTGCTTGTCACCTTGGATAACGACCTTGCATCACAAACCGATGATCTCATTAATAGATTCGTTGAAATAATTGAAAACCTCTTGATCCGCTGCATTTTGAAATCATGGCATCACTCCACAAGCAATTAGCCCCGACCCGATCGACTCTGGTCAAGTGGAAAGGAGAAAGAGAGGATGTGATAAAAGAATATATTGAAAGAAGTAAAGTTGGTGGGGTTGAGCCGAGAGGACTTGAGGGCAGAAGAACACCGACGGTACAATTAAATCCCCACCTGTGCCTCATTCCAATCCTTTCGAGTCTGCGTCATTAAATCGTCCATTAGAGTCCTGAACAACAGGAGCAGAACAAATCATTCGTGAGGATTTACCCCTCTGTGTTTGGTAGCTCTTGGCCGGGGGCTAATAACACTAGACTGGTGTCATGTTGCTGGAGAAGTCATCGTCTTGACCTTGCATCACAAACCGATGATTCCATTAATATATTCGTTGAAATCATTGAAAACCTCTCGATCACCTGCATTTTAAAATCATGGCGTCACTCGATAAGCAATTAGCCCCAATCATCTTGATTATGAGATCAACGACAGCCACAGCCGATGACCGCCATGTCTTGGTAATTCTTCAGGACAACCTTGTTCTCCTCGTCGAGATACAGCATGGATATGGAGCTCAAAGCCGTCGGCACACAACACGCTTTGGGTACCATCGCTGGATTCGTCGAGTAGACGAGATTCTGGACAATGGCGTGATTCGTTGAGTTGAGGTGATCTGACAGTGGAAATGGACAGTCGCCATGACAGTAGAATGCGTCGTAGCCAGGTGGTGCTACTATCCAGTCATTCCAACCGACATCAACAAAGTCAACGTACAGTGGATATCGTCTGCAGTTCTCTCGTCCATCCTTGCGACGTTTTTTGCCAACGGCCGCTCGTCTCACGCGTCTCTCCATCATCTCTTTGGCCGACGCCATCTTGTTGCGTCCGTCGTCGGTGTACGTGTACAACGTCGGACTCAGTGATGACCAGGACTCGTGGGATTCCATGGAACGTTTCAGTCGGACGTGGGGATCTTTCTCGAGATTCACCCCGGTCACCTGTATCAAGAGGCCGTGGTTCTCCTGGCGTTCTGTGAGCCATCGGGAGACCGCCGGCTGCACGTCCAGGTTTATCGAGCTATTGCTCCGGGTGTCGATGGTCTTACTGTCGATCAGTCTCAGCAAGGGCTTGCTTCGTCCTTTCACTCCTGGGCGGACTATGTCGTGGACTAATATCCTGCCTAGGTGCTTGGATTTGTCGGATTGGGGGGGAAGGGCTATCCGGGATAGCCGGAGTTCTGAGGCCTTCAGGCTCTCTTCTGATGGCACGCTTGTCACGTCGAACGACAGGCGAAATCTGTTGGGTGACTGGAACTTCTCGTCCACTGGACTCTCTGGAAATAGAGGAATGGAAGAGTTCATTAGAGAGTGCCGCTGTAAAAATAACTCTAATTTTCACATAGGGGAGGGTAGGACAAAACGGACCCCTAGGACAGAACGGAACACTACCAGAAAATTGATTATTTTTTTATTGTTTTGATAGTTTTTGCTTCCGAATGGAAGCAAATGACATTTCTTGTCTATAAAACCCTTGTGACGGTTATGATCCTGAAACTCACTTTTAATTCAACACATTCGGTGTTCCTGATTCGAAGGAAAGAAAAAAAAATACCAATTTTCTGTGAGCGGTCCGTTTTGCCCTACCCTCTCCCACTTTTATCACACTTATGCGTCTCCAATTTATGTTCATTGTCATTTAATATGAATTGATGCGAATGTGCTATAATTTTCATGTACTGGTACGTATAATTCATTAATGTCAGTCGACAATTACTATTTTGTGTGCAAATAATCATGGACACCCTAGTTTTTGCCAACAAAATTGTAATGTACTAAAGGATACTAAACATATTGAACGCGTCGCTGATGCTATACTTTGCTGATGTACTAATTTCATATGTCAATGTACTATCTCGCGATGATCGACTAGCTACTTCACGTAGCTACGTTATACAATTGATGTTCTTCTTTAGCTATTCCTCCGGCTAGATTTTAGTTACACTTGCGTTCTACTCGATTGTTAAGTCCCTACTCTATCATTGCGGATACACTGAGAATAAAATAAAATTTACTTTTCCCAAGAAAAACAGAAAATTTTCTTGACACAAGTAATCAAATGGAGGTTTTGTATGGGACAGTTGAATATTTACTTGTGCTAAGAAAATTTATTTCTCACAAATAAATTTTTTTCTCAGTGTACACTACTGCTCCTACAGTTGAAAAATTACTCTCGCTACACGTTTATTTTACTAAATCAGTAGCGAAGCGATAAACCAGAGTAAGTCATTTTTTACTATCGGCCAGTTTTTGACGATGGAAAATTTTTTGTCATGACCTTTCTTGTAGAGCCAATTGAGGGTTATAAAAAAGGTTATGAGAAAAATTATGCTATCTCTCTTAGATTCCGAGATAGTCAGCAAAAACTGACCAAAAGTCAAATCGACTGAACGTGGTTTACCACTTCGCTACTGAAATGCTTAAATGCTTAATGAGATACTCGTTTTCGGGGTTTTCGCGATCGTCTGACCGTTGAACCGAAGGTTTCCGATGATGTCCGAGGATCGTCGATAGGAGCGCACGTCGATAGAAACACACCTTCTTTGTAGCTCTTAATCTGCTCTATAAAAAAAGTGATCGCGAAAATGTCGCTATTCCCCTTAGATTGGGAAATATTCCTCGAGAACTCAGCTAAGAGCTGAGTCGACTTACTACCCTTTTCAAAAGTGTAGTCTGCAAACTTTGGAGGCTTCTACCTTCGCGAAAAAGAATCGCACGGTTGTGGAGCCAATTTCATTTGTTAGATTGAATATTACTCTACTCCAATACGAAGTTTCATGTTTCTCATCTGATAGTCTCTGCATTATTATGATAAGAAATAAAAAAGCCCATGTTTTTCACGTGCCGTTAAAATTAATGAACTTTGACCGAGTCCCAAAACCTCAATTTTTTTATTTTTATTACCTTAATTATCCCAATTTTTTACATGATAGCCCACTTGTTCAAGAATGAACAAGTTGAATGAAAATTTTATTTCAAAGGCCAGAATCCTTTTACCGCTTCGCTACTGAATAAGTTCAGTGATCAATGTAAAGAGGTCTTTAGAAAATATCTGATAACTTGGTAACAAAAGTTCTCTGGGTAATTTCTTTTAAAGTCTCTTTTTGGTGAGATAATTCTATATTGCACTGAGAGAAATATCGACATAATATCACAAAACTAATTGATAAAATCCTTAAGATAAGAATTTGCATAATGCGTCAGACCGTGTAAGAATCCTGTGAAATGTTCATGACTTAAACACGAACACTTGGCGATAAAGTGACAATTTCTTGCCTCAAGAAATCGTTTATTTCGTGTCAAAAGATGAGAAAATGACTAAAAATACTAAAAGTTTCGATTCAGCGAATCATGGATCAGAAACTTTTATATTGAACGAATACAGAATTTATACAGGGGAGAACCTTCAGATCCTATTTACTAAAGATGAAAGAAACGTGAAGTTGTTTTATATCGAAATATCTCGAAACTGCCTGACCGGTAATCCTTAATTCTGATTGGTCAATATGTGACACGAAGTTATTCATAAAAAAAACACGCGGCATTTTCAAATTCTTCAGTGACATAATTTCAAATTCTTCAGTGGTCAATTTTTTTTTACGTCATATATATATATAATATATATTTCACATGTATATAGATCATCGGTGAAATTAATAAATTCTGTCCTTTTATGGAGATCGATTTTTAAAAAAATTGAAGATAATTAATTGAAAATGAAAAATTCTTTATAGATTCTTTTACTCTACTTCGCTATTCACTTCAATCATTAGTCGAATTCTCTTTGATTCATTATCAATATTTATAAGGTATTCGTGAGAAAATGAAATTCAATGAATTCCATTTCTTCATTGAAACAAATAAACAGATCAGCGCGCGCGAGAGCGCGCGCATAGATCTTGTATTTTTAAAATATAACCGTCACTTGCTCTCAATCGCAATGAGTTTAACGGAAAGCATCAACATCTTTTGCGTCTCGCAAATTCACTTTGTCTCTGCAGGAATATGATCTAATTTCCAGAAAAAATATCATTTTTTCATTCAGTATCATCCTCCTTGAGCCTGACGAGCACCGATTTCTTGTCTGAAACCTACCATGAATTGATCGAACATGCATGCGATTTTCTCCACTCAAGAAATTATTTTTGTCATATTAGGGTAAGCTACCCAGTAGATGGGATGGACACTCCTATAGATGAACGAGCAACTTTTGGATAGGAAATTACCCCAAAAAAATGCTGAATTGTGAATCGTTGCTTTGAATTTTCACCAACTGTTGTAATTCTTAACCCCTGAATGGCGATTTTTTTCGATCAATTTTGTTTTCAATTGCTAAAAAACAAATGTCGATCTACAGGACGATTTTCTTAAGTGTCCATCTACTGGGCAGTTTACCCTATGTCGATTTATGCAGATGTATCTGCTGTTTTTCTGATGTATCAAAGTAAACTACTCTGAATTGTACTGTCAGCTCAACTGCAAAGGAGCCTGGAGCTCTTAAATGTAAATATATCAGGAAATTTCCACTTTCGATTTTCATTCCGTTCATTCTTACTTCAGATTTCTCTTTAACGTTTTGTTTTTCTCCCTTTGCAATGCATAACTAAAATTCGTTCAATTATTTTGATTTACGAGCCCCTCGGAATGTTCACCACAATTTTCGGGCAGAGTATGGTCTCCTCTATCTCCGGGAGAAGAAAAAATGAACATTCGTTTGACGGTAAGAGTCCCGAGATAAAGAATCTCGAATGCACTTACTCGAGACGACTTTTAAACCGGTAACTTATGAGCTTCCCTGGGGTCTCCGGAATTCCATACTCCACCAAGAAATGCGTTCCCTTTTCCATTTCTTTTTCCACCAGTTATTTTCTCACTCCTTGTGAAACAATTACAGTCACTTTGATTCTCTCTATTCACGTGGAAATAACGGATCTTGTCAAGTCCTCAACAATATCTCCGTAACAAACAGAATTCAGATATGAAGAGTGATATCAATCGAATATGCCACTGACTCCGATAGATCAAGAGATATGATTTAGGAGAGTGATCAATGATCACAAAGGGCCTGTTCTACCTCACTTTTGTCACTGGGCTCGGCACTTTTAAGGAAGAATTGGAATTTCAAGAATTAGAGATTCTAAATTCTTTGGAACATCTTTACTGAATATCTTACTCTATATAATTTGAGATGTCAGTGCCTCCGGAAATTCATGGAAGGTACTAGAAAGTTGAAGAAAGGTTCAGGAAGGTACAGAATCCGCTGGAAAGTTCGCGAATCGTCTGGAAAGCTCTACAATTTTTCGATACAGAATGTTTCAGAAATCGTGAGGAATTTCGCGATTAATTTGGAAGCTAACGCTTCGGAAAATCATGGAAGTTTCTAGAAAGTTATAAAAAACTCTAGACCGATACTGTAGTCTTCTGCGAGGGAATTTTCACATTAATTTTGCGTAATTTTATTGGAAAATTGCTATAAAAAATTAATTAAACTTTCTCGATTCGTTTGAGAGTTTACTTACGAAAGCCTTTCATCATCGATGCCTTCTCTATAGGGGCTCCGACAATATTATAGAATATTCTGGACTTTCCTAGCATTCATCGTCTAAATGTCAATTTCAACATGAAAAAATTGGACAGCCGTAAGCCAAGTCACCAAACCCTCTAGTCTGAAAAACGATTGATTTTAGATGAAAATGTGAAAAAATCAGTTTTACAGCCAAATACATATGAGAAGTCAGTAGCGAGGCGGTAAACAGGTGCAAGTCGATTTAGACTATTGGTCAGTTTTTAATGAATATCTCGGAACCTAAGGGAGATGGCAAATTTTTTGTAATTAACCTTGGTTATAATGAAAAGGTTATAATGAAAATTTTACTGTTTCGCTTAGAGTTTGAGATATTCCTCTAAAATTCAACAAAGAGCTAAGTCTACTTATATCGGTTTACCGGTTCGATACTGAAATGTTTGATGAAATTTCATCTAAACGTATATAAATATTTGGACAAAGAATTTTTGCATTGCATTTTCTCGAAAATTACAGGAGTGTCTATCTCATCATGAACGTTATTCTATTCCCTACACTGTTAGAAATTTTTTGAAATTTCACGGAAAATATTATAGTATTTCTCAAAAGAGTGACATTGAATCGGATTTAGGAGAAAAACGATTATGAAAGTTCTAGTTTTAGGGAGAATTCAAGGAAATTCATGAGTTTAAGTGGGAGTGAGATGGAAATGTCTCAACTTGATTGAATTTTCAGTAGAACATGAATATTCAG